CATTCCTCCCCGCTATTCCAGTCCTGCCCCACACACACCCCAGCTCTCCCTGGTCCTGATCCCAGTGCCTGGTACTGTCCCCAGAGTTTCGTGTCTCTCCCTTTATCTCCTGGCTCAGATGCTCCTGAAGGCAGCAGACGGCTCCGCACTGAAGAATGAGACTCTGCGGCTGTTTGTTAGCTCTGGAGTCATTCGTGAGAACCAGACCTTCCTGACGGATGAGTCTGGCAGAGCCTCCTTCACGCTGGACACCTCCGGCTGGACTGGGACAGTCGCCCTGCGGGTAAACAATGGGCTCCTGCAGGCTCTGTTGTTGTCCTGTGCCTCATAGTATTTACTACGGGAGTGCCTAAGGAGATTCAGGTTTGGGCCCTGAGGTTCTTATTGCTTCACACACCCAGGCTGTGTCTACATTGGCAAGATTTTGCGCAAAAGCAGTTGCTTTTGCAGAAAAACTTGCTGCCTGTCTACACTGGCCGCGAGTTCTTGCGCAGGAACACTGACCTTCTAATGTAAGAAATCAGTCCTTCTTGCACAAGAACTATGACGCTCCCGCTCAGGAATAAGCCCTCTTGCACAAGTGTTCTTGTGCAAGATGCCAGTGTAGACAGGCAACATGAATTTCTTGCACAAGAAAGCCCGATGGTTAAAATGGCCATTGGAGCTTTCTTGCACAAGAGAGCGTCTACACTGGCACGGATGCTTTTGTGCAAAAGCACATCTCTTGCGCAAAAGCACATGCCAGTGTAGACGCTCTCTTGTGCAAATACTGTAACGCAAAAACTCTTGCGTTAAAGAGTATTTGTGCAAAATCTTGCCCATGTAGCCGTAGCCCCAGAGTATAAACCACCCCTGGCCAGAGAGCCTGCAGGCTGAAGGGCCAAGACAGAGGTGGGTGGGGACGGGGCAGGACCCAGCAGCAAAGCCATCAGAGGGGTGGTGCAAACGGCATCCTAGTGTTGCCACTTCTCTTCTCAGGACCATGTGGGGTGCGGTTTATTAGGAAGGTCGCCCCCTTCCAACTACTCTGGGCTCCTGCACCTACCAAAGACCCCCAGCCTGGGGTCCCGCAGCTCAGGGCTGCCCCATTCCAACCACTGGGGTTCTCTAGGCTCTTGTTACAGATGGGGGGTGAGGGGTCATGGGGCTGAGCTCAACCAGCAGCATCAGAGCTGGTCCAGCCTGGTGCGATTCCTGTCCTGTGCTGAGCACTCAGCATCCAGCACGCCCCCTCGCTCTCTATCCCCAGGGGCACTTCAAGGAGGCAGGTCCCAGCATGGAGCGTGATGGAGTCTCTCCCTGTTACCCGGATGCCCATCACCGTGTGGAGCCCTTCTACTCCCGGAGCCGGAGTTTCGTGAAGTTCCGCAGGCTGGGCGGGGAGCTGCCCTGCGGCCAGGCCCAGCGGCTCCACGTGGACTATGTCCTGGCGAGGGAGGCCCTAGGGCGAGGGTCCAAGAGCCTGGATTTCATCTTCCTGGTGAGCCCCAACCTGGGAAGCTAAAATGTGTGTGTGTGTGTGTGTGTGTGTGTGCGAGTATGAACTCGAGTCTCACGTTATCGGATTTTAACAGGGAAATGCAGATCATTGTTGCACCCACTGGTGTGTGTTTGCAAAGGGGGCCAAGTGAGGTGTCTAATGGAAGCCAATGCCATGCGGATTCTGTTTGTGCTGCTCATGAACACGTGTGCACTCCGTGTCTCGCGCTGCACCTGTGCACTCCGTGTCTCGCGCTGCGCCTGTGCACTCCGTGTCTCGCGCTGCGCCTGTGCACTCCGTGTCTCGCGCTGCTGCCGTTTGTTGGATGCGTGCGCGGCACGAGCCTCCCTCAATTCCTTCTACTGTCCTCAGCTGAAGACGGAGTCAGAGCAGTGCTCTCCTTTCCTGAGAGGAAACAAACAAACAGCCTGTCAGTTTAATAATAGTTCTTAGTTTTAGTTAGTTTTCAATGTTTACTTCAAAACAACAAGAAAAGCCGCCACATTGGATGCAAGACGAGCCATCGTGTTCTACTTAGACAGAACCAAAGAGGTCAGAAAGTCGGACAGACTCTTCATCTCTTGTCCTGGGCCACATAGGAGAACAGCCGTCTCGGCACAATGCATATCCAAATGGATTGCCAGCTGCATACACACAGCTTATGAACTTTGAGGGAAGCAGCTACCACGGATTATCAGGGCTCACTCCACACGTGTGATGGCCACAACATCAGCCTTCCTACGTAATGTACGTTGGTGGACATTTGTAGAGCAGCTACTTGGTCTTCCCATCGCACCTCACACAACATTACACCCTCCAGAAAGGACCCAGACCCGCCACATCTCTGGCAGATACGATCCCTTCCTTCTTCTACACCAGGGCTACTCAACACGTGGCCCATGGGCCACATGCAGCCCACAGCCTGTTTGTTTGTGGGCCACGGTGTGACTGGGTTTATGCAGGGCTCAACATGTGTCCCATGCATGGGAGCCAAAAGAAAAAAGTACCGTCTTTTCGTGAATATACCCCGCACCCGAATGTACCCCGCGGTTTTTGCCATTTGAGTTTAGAAATCCCTGTATATCCTGCGCACGAGTATAGCCCGCAGGGGCGGGGGGCGGGGTTTATTCGGGTACAGATTATTTCTGCCTGCCCCCACTCCTGTGCACCATGGCTGCCTGCAGCCTCACGCTGCTGCTGCTGGCTGCCGAGCCCTATGCCCAGAACTGCTCCAAGGTGTGGCAAGGAGGATGCAAGGGGGGCGCAGGCAAGATTGCAAGCGGGTTGCAAGGGGGGGTTGCATGGGGAGTGGGCAGTCTGCAGCGATCCGCGACCCCGGCCACCCACCGGCCGGGACAGGACTCCGGGCTCCTTCCCTTTGTCAGCCTGGCCTGGGAGCCTCCCACCTGCCGCCTCTGCTGGGGATGCCTGTGCCCTGGCTCCGGAGCTTTCCCGGTGAGCGAGCCGGGCTCCCAGGCAGACTTTGCCCCCCGCCCCCCCTTCTGGAAGGGCCCTGCCTGCGGCCAGACTCAGCGGCTCCACGTGGACTATGTCCTGGCGAGGGAGGCCCTAGGGCGAGGGTCCAAGAGCCTGGATTTCATCTTCCTGGTGAGGCTAAAGTGTGTGTGTCTGTCTGTGTGTGTGCGTTCTGGGAGAGCCACGCCGGGAAAAGTTACAGGGCTGCGCCCCTCCCCCCCCGTAAGGGTCCCCCCATTGTTCAGCTGTTCAATCCAGCCCCGGCTCTCTGCGGGGGAAAAGGTGTTTGCAGCTCTCAACCCCAGCCCGGCAAAGGCTGAGCCGGGAGGGGCTCTCAGAGCGGGGGCGGGGGCATTCTCCGAGGCATGTGCTGCAGTGCCTGGCAGCACTCAGCCCCCTGTAGCTTTTTCGGAGGCCGCCTCCCGGCGGGGGAAACACTCACCGCCCGGTTCCCGCGCAGCCGCACTCACCCACAGGTGAGTAAAAAAGTTTTGTATACCCCGCACCCGAGTATACCCCATGGGGGAGGGAGGAGGTTTGTAAAAATGAATATAACCCCTGGGTTATATTCCCTAAAATACGGTATTAATGTCATGGTCTTCTGTTGAGATGTGTTTTTGTATTTAATTCCTAAACTGTCATTTCCCATTAAAAGTGCTGTCATGTGGCTGGAAACGGGGGAACTATTGCATTTAGTGATATCAGCAGAACTGACTGGAAAGGGGCCTGCGTGTTGTGTAGTTTTGCCTTAATCTTTGTTTTCATGCCTGTCAGTGTGAAAAACTATTTGCATATATTTTTGCATTTATATGCCTCCACACTTGTGCTGAGAGTATCATTGTGGCCCCTGGGGCTTCCAAACTTGAGTAGCCCTGCTCTACACAGATGACTCCAATGCCCACCAACATCTGGCAGGTACAGCTACTAAGACACCTGAGTGTAGCACCCACAGGGACACCACTCGGTGGAGAAGAAATTACTCACCCGGTGCAGTAACCATGGTTCTCCGAGATGTGTGTCCTTGGGGTACTCCACTGCCCTCCTTTCCTCCCCTCGGCCTGAAGTCCTTTAATGGATTGCAGGTAGAAAAGGAAAAGAGTGAATCTCGTGCTGCTCATGCACCCAAGAAACAGCAGCCGTGCAAGGCATGGGGTGCACAACATGGTGCGAAGGGCACTGCTCACCAAAAACCTCCGATCAGCGGTGCAAGGACGCACTGAGACCTGAGTGGAGTACCCACAGGGACACACATCTCGAAGAGCCATCGTTATGCACAGGGTGACGAACTTATTCATTTATGAAGTTTTGGGGGGACCGTGACTCTGGACAGTTGTCTGTGGCCAGCTAGTCTTACTGTGACCAGGGGGAGAGTCTCTGAAATGTTGGCCCGAGGAAGATAGCTGTCTGTTGGTGCAGGAAAGCAGTGTGTCTGAATGAGGTTTCTGATTGCCTGTCTGGTGTCTCAGAAGTGAGGCTGGAATTAGACACAGGTCAGAGAGAACTCAAGGGTCATGAAAATGTTTCTCTAAAGCAGATTGCAGCTGATGGTCAGGTGAAGCCCTAACAGAAGGAGAAAGATAAAGTTCTTCTTCGAGTGAATGTCCCCGTGGGTTCACTTTGGGTGCTGGTGAGTCCTCACGCTGGTGACTGGAGATTTTTCTAGCAGTGTCCTTCCATGCCGAGCGTGTGCAGCAGCGTCTCCTTATGCCGTTGGTGTCTGTGAGGCGCTGTGTCATGGGCACACCTCAGTTCCTTCTCTACCATCCTCCGCTGCAGACAAAGCTCCCCGTCAGTGACCTCCTTTTGACCTAATCAAGAAAAAAGAGTAAAATTTCCCCAGTTTTCCTTTCAACCAAGTTTCTACTTCTTACCTTCCTATTCATTAAAAAAAACAAAAAAACAAAAAACAAACAAACCGCTTTTCCCTCAAAAACAAACATGTTTTCTTCATTTCCAGTTTAAAATGCTCACCAGGTTTCAAACACTGTGACTCTTGTCACTAAGCCATGCCGGTGTCCGACGGCCACTCTTCCTGTAGCAACTGCATAGGAGAGGCACATATGGCGTAGAAGTGCCCCCAATGCTCGAACCTCATGGCCAGAGCAAGGTGGGACTGTGCTAACAGGCTGAAAACTTCCCTGTATGAGAAGTTGTTACAACCTTTGCATGATGACTCTCCCCCCAGAAATAAAGCCATGGACAAGACCAGAGATATGAGCATCAGTCATCCCTCTACCTCCTCTGATAGGGCAAAAGAAAAGCCTTTGGTTTCCTAAGCCAGATTGCTGCCCCCAGCACCGAGCTCATCCAAAGTGACAAGCCTGGCACCTTAGGTATGGCACTGGGTATAAGGGAAACTGAGGAGTTGGTGCAATGCTTCTGTACTGCCCAGGAAAAGTGAGTTGCTGCTTGGAGAAGCTCCTAAGGAAGAGAATCCTCCCAGTGATTTTTTGCAGTAAATTTGCTGTGGTTGACGGGAGTAATTTTGTTGAGGGGGTTAGGGTTAGGGTTTTACAGAAGGTCTACCTGTAAAAGGCAGCAGTTTATTTCGTAAGAAACTTGTGTCAGTACCTAAGAGCCAGAATTTTTCTGTTAAAAGTGACTCAACTGATTGCATTTGAGAAATCCAGTGTGGACAGTTTTAAGGAGACTTCAGATAGGTTGAAAGTTGTTTCAGAGGAATTGGAAACAGCCAGATAATTGGAACAGCCCTCTGATGACCCCTGGTTGGTTCCTTCAGCATTTGTACCAAGAAGTTATTCCCAACATTCTCCAAAAACTTCCTGGATTGTCTGTGTCCTGCTATATCGGTCTCCCAACAGATTTCAGGGTGATTAAAGTCCCCCACGAGAACCAGGGCCTGCCATCTGGAAGCTTCTCTCAGTTGTCTGAAGAAAGCCTTGTCCGCCTCATCCACCTGATCCGGTCTATAGCAGACACCAACCACAACATCACACCTGTGCTTCTACCTCTAAACTGAACCCACAGACTCTCAACAGGCTTTTCTCCCTCTATATACTTGTGACGTGGGGAAGCAGCCCCGCACTGAACTCTCAGGGCTTGGCCAGGGATTCCTTGCTGCAGAGACCCTACCCCCGCGGCCCTACCGAGCATGCCCAGGCTGCAGCTCAGCTATAAAATCCTGGGAAGACTCAGTCTGGGCTGGCGGCTGGAGGGAAAGGACCTAAGAAGGGAGCTCCTGACCAGTGTCCACCAGCGACCCCAGGAGAAGCCAGCGGAAGCACCAGGACCAGTTGGGACGTCGCTGGGGTCGGCCATAAGGGAGTAGTGACCCCCGTGAACGTGGAGGACACTGTAAGAATGTGGGAAGAGGCCCTGCTGGACTCGGACCAGGTAGGAAGGGGCCCAGGGCAGGGGCAGGAGCAGTCTCTCCCGCCCCAGGAACCTCGGCGTGTTTCGGTAGGATCCCCCCTGCCACTCACAGGGCCCTGGGCCGGGATCCGGTGGAGTAGGGTGGGCACGGGTCCCCCTACCATGGGTGTGGCCCCTCCAGATCCGTGACCCGCTGATACAACCAGCCTTAAAGGGCCAGACATTCACCTTGTTTAGTGTCTCGGGCCAGGAGCTCAGCAGGCCCTGCCTTAAAGGGCGTGCATCGATTAAACAAGCACCTCTGCAAGCAACGATTCACAATGATCACTCTCACCACTATGATTCTGGCACTGGACAAAGGGGACTGGTTTGCAGTCCTCAATTTGAAGATGCAGAGTTTCACATCACAATACATCCTGGGTGCAGGCGTTCCCTGCGATTCGTGGTAGCTTCACACCGCTTCCAGTACAGAGTCCTCCCGTTCGGACTCTGCTCGGCTCCCACAGCTTTTCCCAAGACCCTCGCGGGGCAGCAGCACATCTCAGATGCAATGGTATCGCAATATTCCCCTATTTCAATGATTGCCTTAGCCGAGGTCCCTTGCAATGGGCCAGGAGTGAGATGTTCAGGTTCACAAAGGCCTTTCTTCAGTCACTAGGTTTCATTATCAGTGAGCAGAAATCTACAGTACGCCCCACGCAATCCCTGGAGATCATCAGGGCTCACGTAGCTTCCACAAGAGCACGAGCCTATCTCCCCAGTCACCCTTTTGACAGTATAAGAAGCCTCGTCACTACCGTTACCAGCAGCCCGACCGTGCCCATCCTAACTTGCCTCAAGCGTATGGGGTGCGTGGTGGCCTCCACTTACGTAGTCCTGCACTTTCGACGTTTCCAGCACTGGATTTCTTTAGTGAACCTGCCAGCCAGCTGCCACCTCTGCAGGCACATTTCACCTCCTCCACAAGTCCCCCTTAGTGCTTGGAGTAGGTAGTTTGAATTAGGCTCTCTAATTTGAACTACCGTTACTCCTCGTGGAACAGTTTCTTGCCAGTTTCTTGCCATTCCAACCAGAAAGGACACTGTCTCAACGACTTGATTACCTGCATCCTGCTTCAAAGACCTTTTAAGACTAAACTTCAAAGAGAATCCTCTGAACTGTCATTCATGCTTAAATTCAACACTTTACACCAACAAAGACCTTAATTACCTTACCCATTACAAAGATAGCTTCCCCAATTATCACCTCTAATATCATTAGCTCACAGACATTTACCTCCCCCCCATCCCCCTTCTGTTCTGAAATTTGATTTGTCCTTTTCATATGTGTTCACTTTTTTAATTGTATCCTTTGGTATATATGGTTGTGACAATTTTCTTCCACTATTTGATCTGAGGAAGTGGGTCTGGCCCACGAAAGCTCATCACCTAATAGACCATCTTGTTAGTCTTTGAAGTGCCACATAGTCCTGCCTTTTGTTGGGGACCCTTAGGCTGTGTCTGATCAGCTGTTTGTCGGCTCGTGCGCTAGTCTGGACGTTCCCCCTGTCGACATCAAAGCCCTTTGTCGGCAACCCCATTATTCCACCTTCCCCTAGGGCTCAAGTTCCAATCTCCCCCAGAGTGGGGGCTGTCTGGCTGGAGGACTGGGGAACAGGACACAGACCTGAGAGATCTCCTTTTCCCTGCCCTGTTGGCTCAGTTTGGGGGTGGGGAGAGAGGCAGCTCCCGCCCTGACTCTGGCCTGTGCAGCATCCCCACGTTGGAGCGTTCACCAGCCCCTGTTCAGCCTCAGCTCAGTGACTCCCGTCTCCTCCTCCGCAGGTCGTGGCCAAGGGAGCCATCACCAGGATTCTCCACAAGCGGCTGAAGTTCACAAAGGGGGCTGGTAAGTGGTGGGGGAGGGGTCTGTGTTGGGGATGGAGCCCCTGGTCAGGGACTGGGCGGGGGAGGGGCCCTGCTGACTGCCCCCCACTACCCCCCACTGCCCCTAGGACTGAAGGGCTCCTTCTCCATGGAGCTGCCCGTCGGCGCTGAGCTGGCGCCGGCTGCCAAGGTGCTGGGTTACACGGTGCTGCCCAATGGAGAGATGGCTGCCGACAGCGCCCTGCTGCACGTGGCCAAGTGCCTCCCCAACAAGGTGAGCCTGGGATTCGGGGCCGAGGGGTTTTGGGGGAACCGCTCCTGCCCCGTAACTGGAGCCCTGGGCAGGGCGTCACTCGCTGCCCTGGGCCCTCCCCTCCCTGGTCCCTTCTGCCCCCCCTCCCCTGTCCATCTTACTGGGTGCATCAACGCCCCAACCCCACCCCTAGCACCGACTCCCAAAGCCCCCACAGCCAGTGCGCCTTGGGCCAGAGTGACACTCGGTGCCTGTAGGTCGTGGCCCTGCCCCTGCCTGTTTCCCCCTGCTCCTGGGTGAGCTGTCTCTCTCTCCCCTCCCTCTTGATGCCCTGTGCCTCGCCAGGTGAAGCTGGCCTTCTCGCAGGACCGGGCCCTGCCGGGCTCGGAGCTCCAGCTGCAGGTGCAGGCTGCCCCCGGGTCCCTGTGCGCCGTCCGCGCCGTGGATCGCAGCGTGCTGCTCATGAAGCCTGAGGCCGAGCTCAGCGTCGACACGGTGAGTCCAGAGCAGCTCGGCCATTCGCCCCACCCCTCCCCCGACGAGTCCTCCCCCCTCGCAGGAGGGGCGATGCACGGCCACTGGGGGACACCCCTCGAGGCCACCTCTCCTGGTCACAGGGCTGCTCCAATGGCACTTGGCCCCTTACTCTGCAGGTTCCCCACTTCCCTTGTCTGATCTCCCATCAGCCCTTGCAGCGCCCCCCCAATTCCCCTCACCCGGCTCTGGCTGGGCACACGGAGCTCGGAGCTGAGACAATGGCCGGGGTAACCGGAGCTCTCCAGGGCAGAGCTGGTCCCCAGAGGAAGGAGAATTCCCTGCCCTCAAGTCCAGCAGGGGATAGTGGGTCAGGTGCCTTGTGGGAGGCTCCAGCTTCCTCTGCAGCAGCAGGATTTGCCCCTGCTGGGCTGATAATATGGATTTGCACTCGGCCTGTGGCTGGTACCTGCCATCCAGGGGCTCTCAGACCCTGCACAGGGCGAGTGAAACTCCCAAGCCCCTGGGGCAGCAGGAGATGGGACTCGATGGGCCAGGAGCTGCGCTACGTGTCCTAACCAGGCCTTTCTGTGGCCCAGACAATGCTGGGGAGGGGCACAAAGGCTACGTCTAGACTGCACAAATCCTCTGTCGAAAAAGAGCGTCTAGACTATGATCAGTATTGTCGACAGTCTCGACGCTCTCTTTCGAAAACGCGCAGTTTGCGTGTACTTTCGGAAAAAGGCGTTATTCCTCGTAAAATGAGGGTTACCGCTGTTGACAACACTGCTGCTTTCTGTCTACTTACTGTAGTCGCAGGTACAGTTTTGTCAACAAAACCCTGTAGTCTAGACACACCCTTAGAGCCATTCTCTGCCCCACGGAGAGATGTCACCTCTCCTTGCCCTTCCCAGGCTCTCCCAGGGCATCAGGGGCTGTGTGTCCATTTCCTTGGGCTGCAAGTCGGGGGGTGCAGTGACAGACACCTGTGGGATGCTGTGTGGAATTTGGGTTGTGCCAGGTCTGCCACATACGATATCTGCAAAACTCTTACAATCTGCAAAAGAGGACAGTCTCACGTGCATGATTGCATCCCCTTTGTACTGTGGACATGGAGAAGTCTGTCTGTCTGTCTGTCTGTCTGTCTGCACAACCTGTGCTGTGCTTCTGGGTGACACACAGACACTCCGGCAATGCACTGCCAGCCTGCTCCACGGACCATTGAGGACCTTCAGCTATTCAATTGTCCCACTGAGAGAAGAGAAGGCCGAGCCTTGTGCCTCAACAAGGCAAGAGGGGCGGGGGGGCGTGTCAGAGCTCTGAGGCTTCC